AGTCGAACTCGGCCTCGTCCCGGCAGAGGAAGGCGACGGCCAGTGACGGGTCGATGTCCGCCAGCCGCATGAAGCACGGCCCGCCGCAGTGGTAGCTCCGGTCCGCCTGCTCCTCCCAGTCGGTCCGCTGGCCCGGCGAATAGGACGGCCGTCACACGCGGCGGCGGCGGGCGCAACAGGCGGCGGCGGCGCCAGGCAGCGGGTTTGGGTGGCGTGCAGAGTTCTGGGGTGATAGCTTCTGTGAGGGGTAGTGTTAGGCGCGCTGCTGTTTGTTTTGTTTCGTTTTTTAAGGGAACGCGACACACGTCGTCACGTCCCTTCTTGTGCAGCACCAGCGACCGCATTGGCCATATTAGCGTTCAGGGGCCATGACGCCGCCGGGACCCCAACCCGGGCCCTACATGGAGTCCGACGCGCTAACTTACCAGCCATCGTGCTCCCTGGCGCGCTGCCGTCATGGAGCAGCGTCCGACATACCACACGCAGCTCTCTGCGTTGCCGAAGGACGCATAACAACAACCCACGGCGAATTGCGTGGGTTGCGTGGTTGCGCGGCGTACCGTGCGTAATTGTAGTACTCTCAGTATTATACGTAATTTCAGTACTCTAGGCATGATACGTAATTTCAGTACTCTACGTATGATACTTAATTTCAGTACTCTCGGTAACGCGTGATTTCAGCACTCAGCATCGCACGTAATTTTGATGCTTTCAGTATCGCGCGTAATTTCAGCACTCTCAGTATCGCACGTAATTTCAGAGCTCTCAGTGCCGCACGCAATCTGAGTAATCCCAAAAGGCATACAGAACTACAGAACTAGCACCAACATGACATACACAGGGATTTCGCGCACTTGAACGTGCCCTAGGCAGCTGTCTGCGGTGAGCAACACCGACAGCCCGACCAAAACTGCCGACTCCCCAGCGTCACGCCGCCCTGCTTCATCGGGACCCATCCTCCACCGGCACCGGCCGCGGCCGTCCGCGGTCTGCTCGCCGGAGGCCGAGGGAGCACCATCCCGGCCGGCGCCGGCCCTGACCGTGCCCCGGGCGGCGGCCGGCGACGCTCGCCTTGCTGTCCCCCCCCCCCTCCGCCCCCCCCCCCCGCCGCCCGACGCTCGCCTTGCTGTCCCCCCCCCCCCCCCTCCGCCGCCCGACGCTCGCCTTGCTGTCCCCCCCCCCCTCCGCCGCCCGACGCTCACCTTGCTGTCCCCCCCCCCCCCCCCCCCCCCCCCCCCCCCTCCGCCGCCCGACGCTCACCTTGCTGTCCCCCCCCCTCCGCCGCCCGACGCTCACCTTGCTGCCCCCCCCCCCTCCGCCCGACGCCCACCTTGCTGCCCCCCCCCCTCCGCCGCCCGACGCTCACCTTGCTGCCCCCCCCCCCTCCGCCGCCCGACGCTCACCTTTCTGCCCCCCCCCCCCTCCGCCGCCCGACGCTCACCTTGCTGCCCCCCCCCCTCCGCCCCGACGCTCACCTCTCACCTTTCTGCCCCCCCCCCCTCCGCCGCCCGACGCCCACCTTGCTGCCCCCCCCCCCCTCCCAATCCGCCGCCCGACGCTCACCTTTCTGCCCCCCCCCCTCCGCCGCCCGACGCTTACCTTGCTGCCCCCCCCCCCCCCTCCGCCGCCCGAACGCTCACCTTGCTGCCCCCCCCCATCCGCCGCCCCGACGCTCACCTTTCTGCCCCCCCCCCCCCTCCGCCGCCCGACGCCCACCTTGCTGCCCCCCCCCCTCCCATCCGCCGCCCGACGCTCAACCTTTCTGCCCCCCCCCCCCCTCCGCCGCCCGACGCTTACCTTGCTGCCTCCCCCCTCCGCCGCCCGACGCTCACCTTACTACTCCCCCCTCCGCCGCCCGACGCTCACCTTGCTGCCCCCCCCCCCCCCTATCCGCCGCCCGACGCTCACCTTGCTGCCCACCTCCGCCGCCGGCTGGGTGGTGTGCGGGTCCAGGTACACCAGCCGGTCGTCCACGCAGCCCACGAAGTAGAGCGCGTGGTTGGGGGTGCCGCCTGCCGGCGCGCGGGCGGTTGAGACGGCGGCCCGCCGCACAGACGCCGATCCGTTGGTCGATGCCCCCAAGGACTTGCGGTCGCACGACACTTGGTCTGCCGGCGCCCCCTCCCCCCCACACTTCCTCTCCCCTCCCCTACCCCTCACCCACGTGACCTTCGGAATGGCTTCAGGGAATTTGTCCGCAGTGGTACCCAACGTGACTGACATTCGTCGCATGGCCCGTTCCGATCTTAATTCGAATTATCCTCGGCTGCCCATGTAAACCGGGTAATTTACCCGGTTATTTACACAACACAACACAAAAAACACAACCGGGTAAATTGATGCGTACATTAATAGGATAGTATTTATAGCTACAGCACAAGCCACAACACTTGAAACACAAGAGTTGCGCAGTCAGCACTGCCAAATCTGTCACATAAGCAGTGTTATATGCAAATTTTTACTAGCGGGAAACTTTGGCTAGCAGGAAATCAGTATTTTCTTGTATTGGCCAATGACACTCACAAACTTACCACGCTCATATCAGTATGCCACCCAGCATCATGTCATCTACTTTGCGCAGCCCAAGAAACACATTACCTACTCCCACACTAATGCATTTATGAGCAGCCTGCAACAGTGAGTTAAGCTACAGAAATGACTCATGAATGCTACATAGTGGCAAAAATTGTGTAACTATGTTGTCTTTCCCCATCCAATGCATCATCAGTACCTGAGGGCAGCATTGCCATTTAGACTTGGCATGGACTGGCAAAGTCAGAATGCAGCCATTTGCTTTCTTGACATAATAGGGTTGAAATACTGCTTTGATACCCTTGCAGTCAACAGCATTGGCTGATATGGACTGATGGCTAGGTGGCACAAACAGCTGTGTTCGCACAGTCCAAAGATCAAAACATGTGAACCAGCCCCAGAGCTGTCATGACAAAAGCAATCTGGGCTCAAAATTCATAACAAATGATTAATTATAACAACAGCTCAATTATCCAGCTCATGGTCAGTGAATTTAACCCTCTCGGCGAGGGGCGTTTACATGGGGCGAAACCGGCTTTACGTCGGATTAACGGTCGATAGTTCGATCCCGCCTAGTTCGAATCAAGGAACGGATTATGGGCGAAAACTGCGCTTTTGAGGCGAACTGAACAAAACAAGAAGAAAAAAGCCGGTACTCTGCGTATGGATGGCGAATGTCACGAGCCATGGCGGGCGCGAGACGGCTTTGAGGGCGAGGAGGAAGATGGACCCCGTTGGAAAAATGATCTGTGCGGGACTCATAGGCTTTATAGCTACACCACAAGCCATAGCACTTGAAACACAAAAGTTGCTCAGTCAGCACTGCCAAATCTGTCACATAGGCAGTGTTATATAACAAATTTTACTTGTGGGAAACTTTGGCTAGCAGGAAATCAGTATTTTCTTGTATTGGCCAATGACACTCACAAACTTACCACACTCAAATCAGTACGCCACCCAGCATCATGTCATCTACTTTGCACAGCTCAAGAAGCACATTACCTACTCCCACACTAATGCATTTATGAGGGCCTGCAACAGTGAGCTAAGGTACAGAAATGACTCATGAATGCTACATAGTTAGTGGCAAAATTGTGTAACTATGCTGTCCTTCCCCATCCAATGCATCATCAGTACCTGAGGGCAGCATTGCCATTCAGACTTGGCATGGACTGGCAAGTCAGAATGCAGCTATTTCTTTCTTGACATACTAGGGTTGAAATACTGCTTTGACATCCTTGCAGTCAACAGCATTGGCTGATATGGACTGATGGCTAGGTGGCACAAACAGCTGTGAGAACCAGCCCGAGAACTGTGTCATGACGAAAGCAATCTTGGCTCAAAATTCATAACAAATTATTCATTATAACAGTTCAATTATCCACCTCATGGTTTGCAAAGATATGCATCACAAAAAAGCACCAAGGTAACATATTTGCTCACCAGTACAAAAACAGGTAATGATGTGTGCTTCAGATATGTTATCTGTGCATCACATGGCATTAGGTTAGGTTTATTTAATTTATGCACTTTTCTTCCACATAAAATGCACCAACCTGGATTTGGCAGAGTACTGATGACAGCTATTTTCATCCAGTGCTCACATTTGCTTTCTTGACATTTTGAAACTATCACTGGGCAATTTTGGTCCCGTCATTACAATAGTTCACATTCTGCACTGACTGCAATGATCTATTGTCCATATTTGTTGATCCTTTGCATCATGCAGGAATTATTGAGTTACCTATCTCTAACAAGCTAACAAGCAACAAACAGCCTAACTGCATCAAAAACAAATATTCCAGCCCCTGCTTCCTTGCCAGTTTGTCTACCAGTGTGACATAACTTCATATTTCCTTGATGAGCCAGTCACCAATATTCAGCACATCCCTCCAGCCAATAGGTGGTCAACCAAATGTTCAAGTCATGGGAGGAATGTCTGCAAAACCAATCCTGGGGCATTTATGTATTCACTTCATGAAAGAAACTATTGGTACTCTCTGCAAGAATTGTTGAACAGTTGAATTACCTACCTCATGGCCTGCAAAGACACCCATCACAAAAAAGCACCAAGGTGACATATTTAATCACCAGTACAAAAACAGGTGATGATATATAACATAGACGTGTTCTCCATGCAGCGTGTGCCATTGTGTTAGGTGTTAGTTTATGCACTGTTTTCTTGCACATGGAACACACAAAATTGGATTTAGCAGAGTAATGATGACAGCTATTTTCATCCAGTGTTCACATTTGCTTTCTTGATGTTTTGACCCCGTCATTGGACAATTCTGGTTCTATCGTTAAAAAAGTTCACATTCCGAGCTGACTGCAATGATCTGCAATTATATTTGTTGATCTGTCATATCATGCAGGAATTTTTAAGTTGCCTTTCTCACACAAATTAAACTGACAAGCAACCAGCATCCTAAGTTAAGGAACATCTGCAAAAACACTCCTGGGGCCTTGAGGTATTAACTTAATGAAAGAAACTTAGGCATTCTCTGCAAGAATTTTGAGTAATCCAAAAATTAAAGTGAGAACAAGTCAAAGCTATATAAAGTGACCATGTTACCTCCATCTGGCTTTTGGAAGCATGGAGCCTGCCCCAGATGTCTAACCTTTAAGCGGAAAGATAACACCAAACACCGCCGACGCCTGCTGTCTGCATAGATCAAGCGCCTAACAAGGCTAAATTACGTGAGCATTTCTGTGCTGCTAGCCACTTTAGGCCCTCAATAATTACAGTAGTTTTAGCAGCATGGTGTCAGCTTCACCTTCTTTCCCTTTTCCTTTACCATCTTGGACTTGGACCGTCTCGAGCAATAGCTAAAAACCCGTGGAAAAGCGGCAACACCAAACAAAGCTGAAATGGCCGTGAACGGAACTGCGTGCGCCAGGCATTTTTCTTTTTGTTTTTGTTTAGACAGCTGACGGCCGATACTTCGAACGAAATCCCTTCCTGAACGGATAATCCCCTCACGGGAAGGGATTGCCTTCGGCGCACGATTCGAATCAGCGGAACGGCGCATGAGTGTATACATGGGCCGGATAGTTCGGATCGAGGAGGGGTCCCGGCTCAGTTCGAATCACAGCTGCCCATGTAAACAGGGTAAATGTCAGGAAGATGCTTGGACTGATTCAGGTACAAATCGGATTACCTGTCAGTCACTGTGCTGGAGACACAAGTAAAAACTTAACGGGATCAAATGGGTTTCCCAAAAAGCCAGCCAAATCATATACTGAGATCGGTAAGAACTTTATACTCAGAAGTCCTATCACTGAAGCGATCCCCATATGAGCTTGCGAAACACCTCGCGAGCAGAGAAGACCACCCAGTCGAGGAAACTAGCCACCAGTCTGCGCCTAAAATCCACCCCGCCCCACCCTGCCCCACCCCCGCACCCGTCTGCATTGGCCCTGCCACGCTCTCGCAACGCACGCAAGCACGCACCCATCCACCCACGTCACACGCATAGGCACGCACGCACGCACGCACACATGAACACGCGCACATACACACGCACGCACGCATGGAAACACGCAAGCAAGCACGCACGCACGCCCGCACACACACGCGCACACACACACACGCACACGAGCGCACGCGAGCACACGCACGGCCGCACGCACGCACAACCCCGGTGCCCCTCCTCAGCGGCCGCCCTGCGCCACCGCTCCGGCCGTCTCACCTATGATGCCCACCACGTGGGGCACGGTGAAGCAAGCCCGCACGCCGGACGCGTACACAGGGTTCAGCTCACTGAGGCCCAGCCGCAGCGGCACCACCAGCAGCAGCGGCCGCCGCCAGGCGCCGCTCGTGCCCCGGCAATCACGGCGCACTTCGTCGCGCACCACGCACGAGTCCATGGCCACGTGCAGCACCGGCTGCAGCCACGTGTCGTGCGCCGCCACGTGGCGCAGCGCCTGCGCCACCGTGTTGGGGCCGAACCAGGTGCCGACCGGCTTACCGGCCGTCCGCTCGCCGGTCAACGCAATCTGGTGGATCGAGTACGGCGCCTGCGGCGGAGGCGGCGCGTCAGCGACGGGGGCGGCGCGTCAGCGGCGGACGTGGCGCGACAGCGGCGGAGGCGGCGCGTCGGCGGCCGACATGGTAGGAGACGACGTGGGATGCATGAGTTACTGTCCAACAGACGCGCCCAACATACCCTAAGTAACACGCTAGAGTCTACAGCAGGCGCGCACCAACGCCTCCAACCGCAACATAACGCTAAACACGCAGTAACCCGTTCCACTCGCTCCTGGCTGACCCGAGTTCACCGGACATAAGACCTGTCGTGTCGTGTCGTGTCGTATCGTGTCGTATCGTGTCGTGTCGTGTCGTGTCCTGCCGTCGGGTGCACTCACGTCGCCGCGGTCGGCGAACAGCGCCATCAGCCGGAGGTAGTCGGCTTGGCGGGTGCCTGGCACCCAGCTCCAGGCGCGGCCCAGCTGCAGCCGCTGCAGCGCCTCGGCCAGCACCATCTGGCCGCAGCGCAGCATGCAGCCCCAGCCACGGTCGGTCGTCGGCCCGTCGATGCCGATCGAAGGGAAGCCGCGCCTGCCGGCCGCACCGCGGCGCGCGTCACTCCACGCCACCGTTAGGGGTCACACAAAGGTCGGGGTCACGGGGAACACAAGGGTTGAGGTCAAGGGGCACACAAGGGTCACACAAAGGTCGAGGCTAAGTGGCACACAAGGGTCAAGGTCAAGGGACACGCATGAGTCGAGGTCTATGGTCACTTTGCCACCACTCGGGGGATAAAGTGTAAATCATAGGTTGGTTCAATGAATGCAGCATCAATAAAAACAGCACCGCAATGTACGCAAGCGGCATAACCGAGAGTGTATCACGACCAGCATCAGTGTTCATGTGCTTCAACTTCCACTTGATCACAGTGGTTTGCCGTTTCAACTCCAGCGCGGTAAACCATAAATCCATCACAGACAAAGGCCCGCGCGACCGATGGGACAATGAGCACACGCACGGCGGCAGCTGGGCGTAAAAGCACAGAGGCTCGCGGCACTGCATGGGCGCGGAGCAAGCAGGCCAAAGGGAATGGCCTGTGTGAGGGTCAGAGACTGGCGCCCCCTCACCTGTACGTCATCCAGATGCGCGTGCGGAAGTCTGCGGTGAGCGCGTCGCGGTTCTCGCCGGCCGCGTACTTGGTGCCCAGCAGCCAGACGGGCTGCTCCGTCTCGGGGAACTGGTCGCAGCCGCCGCACGCCTGCTGCGCCACCAGCTGGGCCTCGTACAGCATCCTGCGGCGCAGCCGAGCAAGGCGCAGCCGCAGACGGCGCATAGACGGCCCAGCGGCCGGTCTCTGCCAGCACAGACGGCGTCAGGTGGGCGTCATATGGGCGCCAGAGGGGCGTCAGATGGGCGTCAGATGGGCATCAGAGGGGCACCAGAGGGGCATCAGGTGGGAGTCAGGTGGGTGCCAGAGGGGTGTCAGAGGGGCATCAGACAGGCATCAGATGAGCATCAGAGGGGTGTCAGACAGGTGTCAGAGGGGAATCAAGCAGGCATCAGGCAGGTATAAGGCAGGCAGGCATCAAACAAACATCAAAGAGGCATCTGATGTAGGCATCAGGTGGGTGCCCAGCTGAACATCAAACTGGCACCAAGCACAGGCAGCTGGCTGGAGTCAAACAGATGTCAGCTCAGCTGATCAAGACAGTCAAACAGAGATCAAACAGATATCAGGCAGAATACCCTGCATCCGCTGAGCATATGGCGGATGCCAGGCAGGCACCAAGTGTGCACCAGGCAAGCATTAAATGGGTTTCAGGTGCACAAGTTGGATGTGAATCCACTATACATTGTGCGATAAAAACAGTGACAAACAGAACAGTCAAAAGCAGGGTTAATACCCAGCCAATATATAATATATTCCTTCTGCGTGCCACTTTGGTATCCATAGCATATGCTCCTAGTACCCAGGTCTGATACATGTAATCCATGCTACATTATCATACATCTAAAACCATTGACCAGATTTTAGATCTATAACAAGCCTCCATATCTGGCATAAATTTGTATAATAAGATCTAGGGTCTGACATGGGAATGGTAAATTGGTAACCCAGGTTAGTTTTCATTCACAAATTGCAGTTGAGTCACAACTGCAGTAAAAGTAAGATGCCCAGAGGAGATTTCAACTTTTTTATTTTGCAATTATCAAGAAATTCTGAATGGTTTGAATGCATGGTTTTGGGTTCAGAGTACCTGCCAAGCATAACTTGTTATTTGTAGCCTGAAACCCACCATCATGTATAAGATCTCACAATGCACAGCTTACATTTACATAATTGCATTGCTTAAAAATAAAGTTGCATTGTAGGTAACTTATATGTTGATGAAATCCTGAGTTATTGTTTCTCATTGGTGCTGACAGCTATTATTACACAATATTTCCTCCAAAAATGCTAATGCAGGTTGATGACTCCCATGCAGGTTTGCATAACAGCAATCAGTTTCTTCTTTCTTTAAGCATTGTAGCAGCATGATACAGAAATGGCAGCATTTGGTTTGAGTGCAGGATAGGCTATGAATGCTCTCAAGAAGTGTGCAATATCTTACAAAAACAGCATCATATGGTGACAAAACAGGTTAATTTTTGTTCATTTCTGCTGCTCTTTCTATCCTGAGTAATGCACTTTCAAACATTGCAGCACAACATATACACATCTAGACATTGCTTTAGGGCTGAAACATCAACTGCTGTGTCTATTTGTGCCTCATTGTATCCAGAAAGCTGATGTTTACACATGAGACACTGGTGTGGGATAAGGTGCTTCTTGTTCCTTTTCCCATGAGCAAGGCAGTTTGCCAGAATAAGAGGCCCACAGACACAATACATTTCTAAAAAATGCTATCATAAGCCTAGTGCTAATTTTTCTCCATATCATGGGCTTGAACTCCCCAAAACCACTGCATATTGTGATAGCTACTGCACCATATTGTCTCAAATTCTGAGCTACTTACATCCCAAATACTTCCCTGGGATCCTTCACACTATTCAAACACATAATCAGCAACTTGCTCCATGGTGCACCCTGATCAATGGTATGTCAGTGTGTACGCATTCCTGACACACCCACACGCTAGGACGGCTTCCGTATCGTGCAAGGATTGCGATTGACAAGCCGACCAATCTATCAAAGACATCTTCCAATCACGTATGTTAACAGAGGCAACGGAAGGAAAACAATCATTACCAGGTCAAAGACTTACAGGATCCCAGCACACACGCTTTTGATGTTAATATTCTTCTTAACTTTGAATGCAATGGGCGCAGGGCTAGTTACTCTAGCATCTACCCCGTACCACCCTCCCACTTATTTTGTGTTTATTTGGAGATTGAAGTTCAGAGTCATCCGGGCTGTTATGGCGCAGCGCAGACGGGCTGCGCAGCCGTCAACGAGTGGTTCGGGAAACCACCACACAGACTCATCTAATTTGACGTCACATCGGTGGAAAACCGAGAACCGATGCTTTTTCCAGTATATTGAACTGCCCGCGCTGGCTGAACTGGGCTGGCTACGTATATGAAAACATGGAAATTGACGTCGCGTATTTTATAATTATTCATTCTATTTGGGCTGTTACATGAAGGCTGCGAAGAGAGACTGATTTTATGACAGCTGCGTGAAACATGCCAGGCAACCTAAAGTGTACCCTGTTCCCGCCAGGGTAAAGAACGGGCGGGCCGAGGATGTGATTTTGCATGGGTTCTCCCCATTGTCGTACATGGTCGGAAAGTTATGCCCCCATTTAGCAGTTACAGATGGCTGGAACGGCTGAAACTTCCCAGGCCAGCAGTTTGCCGTGGCAGAGAAGCGCGGTTCGCACCGGGCAGGGCCCGTGGCAGGTACCGGGCTGCCGCATGCGACCCACACTGGCGTTTGCAGCGTCATATCCCGTGGGCCTGGCTCGAAGCCTGTCAGTTTTTTCCGCAGAGTCCGCCGGCCTACCACCGGCAAAACACAGCTGGGCTGCACGTGCACCCCGCTCCGGCGCGGCGAAGACCGGCCTCTGCGACCCCCGTGCGCCCTGCGACCCTCTATTGCGGCCCCTTTGCGCCCTGTGACCGTTCACAGCGGTCCCTGTGCACCCGATGACCTTTCACCATGACCCCCGTGCGCCCTGTGACCCTTTACTGTGACACCTGGGTGTCCTGTGGTCCTTCAAAGCGACTCCTGGGCGTCTAGGGTACTCCTTAGCAGGTCAGGGGACGCGAAAACAGCTAGAAAAAAACCCTCAACTCGTCCTGTTCGTACAATCGAGGCTGTTCGTACCTCGAAGGAACAGCCTCCGAGCGCCCGAAAGATCCCTGAGCAGCTTTTAAGGGACTCGGAGCGTTCAGAAGGTCATGAGGATGCAGTGAAATGGCCCTGGCGTCTAATCGGACTGCTGAGCGTCCAGCGAGCCCTCCGCTGCCAAGCGAGCAATTGTTGTGCGTAGGGCACTAACACTTAAACGAGTTTCTTCACAACAAAGGCTCATTCAAGAGTCACTGGAGCAGCGAATGGCTTGACCATCTTTTGCGCGCCACCGCGGCGTGAGAGGAAGCGGATTAAGGCAGACCTGGGCTATTGTCGTTGAGGAAAGCATATCAGACATTCTTAAACAATTCGCCAAGTGAAATGTTTTTTACAAGGTGCAGCTATTCAGTCGGTGTAAAGAATCAAATTAAACGGCAGGAAATTATTGTAGGTACAGCTGGCGGAGTTAACATGACTTGTTCCTTGTGAATTCTGATACTGCATATGGCACGGTGACATCTAGCAAAGTGGGCAGGCAGGTGCATTTTCAGTAGCGCCGCCTATAACTTTCATGACGGCACCTACCGTGGTAGCGCCGCCTACGGTGGTGCCAGCGCATACAGGTGACGACGTTTACACAAGTTGGTAACCGGAAGAGCCACTGAGCAATGGGAAGCGCCGATTGATGACCGGAGAGGCCCTGGATGGTCAGCAAAGCCCCTTGAAAATAAGAAAGGAACGCCACCAGCTAGGGGCTCCCTCTGGTTCCGACTAATCTTTGCATCACGCTGAGGCCCAAATGGAAAGGACTGGGTTGCAATCGCAGGGGGCTGCACTTCGCATGGATATCCTGCACCGCAGTGCTTAAGACTGTCTTGGCTGCACTTCGCATGGATATCCCGCACTGCATTGCTTGAGACTGTCTTGGCTGCACTTCGCATGGATATCCCGCACTGCAGTGCTTAAGACTGCCTTTGCTGCACTTCGCATGGATATCCCGCGCTGCATTGCTTAAGACTGTCCTGGCATGCCTAGATTGTAAGCCAATGGGTAAGATGTTGTCCAAGATCGATCCAAATGTTACCCACTTAGGTCCAGTCACCCAGCCTCTGCCCACTGCGTTGTGTCATAAGTGCCAGTGCTGCTGACAGGCGGCAATAGAGACTCGCGAGGCGCACGGGCTAATGCAGATCATCGCATGGGTATAAATCAGGGGCGCATCCGGTCTCGGCAGTGGGCGTAGCACAAAACTTGTGCGGACTGAAGGGAAGGGGCTTTGCCCTCACGCAGTTCGTCGAATTTGCCTTATGATATTCAGAGGCTCTCCAATTTCATCCATATTTTTTATTGATCTCATTCACTGATGCGGACGGGTGTATTCAATGCGAGTCTGTGGATTGAACATGAAGGAGGCACCTTGCCTTTCCCGGGAAGGGGCACATGAATAAGGTACTAGGAGGCCCAACTTTTCCCATAAGGGGCTGATCAGGGGATGAAGGGTCTTTCGTCATAACTCAGGGTACTTACCAGCTACAATTTAGAGGTCCAATAATTTTCATTAAGACCCCAGTTCTGCTCGTCGGATCCCTGACTGAGAAGAATCGGAGTCCCCTGCATTCGATTCCATAGATCCCTGTCTGACACAGGGCCCTAAATTGTCCCATTGTGGACCATTACATTCTCCTGCCATACAGAATCTATCAAACTAAGATAACTTACCAAACCTCCTTTCATTGCCTGAAAATCACGACCGACCTAATAGGCCCTTTGAAATTCTGGGTCCCATGCCTGCCTCTGTTTAGTAAATAGGACCCAAGTAGACTCGAGGGTCCTTGTCTACACAGGTCTCCTGTTTGGCACTGTAGGCCCAGTGACCGAAACAGGACTCTCATTATCTCAGATGAGGCACGAAAACAGGAAATCCCCCGACTGATATTCGCGTGCACCGTCCCTCTCCATGTTTAGTATATGAACCACCAGACAGACATGGAGCTGACTGTTCGGCACTGGTGGTCTCTGATCGACATAGGGGTTCTCATTGTCCGGGGTCCCCAGTCGGCTCAAGAAACCCCTGATTGGTCTAAGAGGGCCCAGCCAGCACGGCTGGAGTCCCTTCATCCCTCCGGCTATCCCTTTAGCCTTTCAATGGGGCTCTTGATAGCCAGACCCCTCGGGACCCCAGGGCATGAGCATGCGCAAGTGTGCGGACCTGTGTATGCTACATGTGTCAAGCTCAAGTACCTCCATTTACCAATAGATGTCTGTACCATCGCTAACCAGCTGCCACCGCCCTTCCCAGTCATTTTAGCCCGACTGAGCGCACAGTCAGTGCTCAGACCTTAGATAAGTTTCCTACCGGGTGATCATGCTGTGCGTAAGCTGGGCCAAGGGTTTCGACCTCGGAAACAACATTACCCTGAAGCTGAACCAGATTTCAAAGAGTCGGCTATACTGGTACGAAACACCCGATGGCAGACGCGCTGATCACACCACAGACGGCTGCTGGCCGAGGTCAAGGCCGCACCAGCAGGAGTACACCTGAGAATGCTCTTGACCCGCCCCGCCGCTCCCCTGACCCGCCCCGCCGCTCCCCTGACCCGCCCCGCGGCTCGGCTGGCTCGCCCCGCCCCTCCCCTGGTCCGTCCCGTCGCTCGGCTGGACCAGCCCCGTCCCTCCCCTGGTCCGTCCCGTCGCTCGGCTGGCTCGCCCCGCCCCTCCCCTGGTCCGTCCCGCCGCTCGGCTGGCTCGCCCCGCCGCTCCCCTGACCCGCTGTTCCCCTGGCCCGCCCCGCCGCTGCCGACAGCTAGGTGCCCAACACGGGCGTGCCATCAGCCTCCGCCAGCCGGATTTCCGTGACACATCGAGTCCGAGCGGCCGGCTGCCGACCCCGTTTGGCGTCTCCGGTCGACGCCGGGGAGTCAGGGGTGCTGTGTCACCGATGCGGATCAGGTGCGATCATGACGGGCGTGGGGTCCATTCTTCACGGCGGCGGCGGTGGCGGGAGGAGGGGGGAGGGGGAGGGGCGGATCAGGTGTGATCATGACGGGCGCGGGGGCCATTCTTCGCGGCGGCGGCGGTGGCGGGGGGAGGGGGACGTGACTGATTGGCGTGGTCTGATCTGTCATTGTAAGAGGCGTGACTAGTTCGGTGTGGTTGGTTTCTTTTGATTCGGGTGGCTGGTTGGTTTGGTTCGTTTGGTTTGGTTTGGTTCGTTTGGTTTGGCTTGTTTCGGTTGGTTTGACTTAGTTCGGCTGGCTTGGTTTGGTTCGGTTGGTTTCGTTTGGCTTGGTTGGTTTGGTTTGGGTCAGAACCTTTTAGGCCAGCAGCAACCATTTTAGGGCTACGCAGATTAAGGAGGGCGAATAGCGGTGTGGCAAGACTGCATGCACCCGGGTTCCTCTCCCGAGACTGGGCCCACGCAGGAACCCCTCCTCGGAGCATGTGCGGGGGCTTGAGCCAGGCTTCCGGTAGGGGCAACCCAGACCCGCCGTGGCTGGCGCATGTAGCTTGAAAGCAAAGACTCCCACATACAAAACTTGCCCTGGATGAACGGGGCGCGCCAGGATCCCAGATGAAGAGTGAACGAGGAAAGAAGGCCAGATGAGTGGATGTGACTATCGGCAATTTCACTTCGTCCCCATCCCCTCCTACCAAGGTTATTACATGCCTCATTAAGATGTGCGAGAATACAGGTTGACAGTGCGAACGTACAGGTAGACAAGTAAAACAAGATAGATCGAGAACGTGGTATTTTTAACGTAGTTCAAGAAACTCTATGCGCTTGCTAAGCCGCAGGTTCCGTATTTGGTGACTATTTCCTATTTGTACCTTCCCCAATGTTGAGATTTTGCGCACTCCTCTGGGTGTGACGTCAGTCAGAAGCATGACGTCAGCCATTGACGTCAGGGTTGTCTGGGTGACGTCAGTGTTTGACGCGTTAGTCGCTGTCAAGACAAGGCCGAGGTCCGAAGCCTTAACCGCAATGGAGTTTGGGGCATTACGAAAACCATAGCCAGTGGAACAAGCCGTGGTGCCTAGAATACAAGCCGCGCGTAACGACGTCCACATACAAACCAA